CACCACGCTGTGTCTTGAATGGCAAGAGTGCGAATTCCTGCATCATTCGCATGCAGTGATTAATGATTTCTGCGTAGTCGAAAGTATCCACAGTGGCTGACACCACTCGCTCTCCTCTGTAGAAAGTCATGTCGAATTTGATCTTATCCGGATAATTTAGAATGTATGAGATGTCCTTGAAACTGAAAAACTTCTTCATGCCAGACAATCTTAGAAACACAGAGTAAAGTTTCAAAAGTTTCCCATGGTAATTGTGGTAGAAGTTGATGTGAATCTGCTTTAGAGCCCAAGTCCTGTCGTCAAACAGTATATAACCATCTATTGAGACCCTCATTGGGAAATCGGCAGAGCTTTCGTAGATAAAAGCCTCAGATCTGCTCATCGGTTCTCTGTGTCTCAGCCATGGCAGTGTTGTCTTCGGCAGACTACCAGCCTTCACACGAGCCCTCACCGAAGACTCGAATAGGTTAAACAATTCATAATTGGTTTCAGCATCCATAATTCTGGCCACAACTATGAAACTATCTGGCGATGGTAGAGAATTGAGAGCTATTCTCAAAGCGACAGCCTTGAATTCGGAGTTGTACTGAACATTTCTCAGGATCTGTATGGCCACTTCGAAGAGATAGTCAGGAGAAGTTGATTTCTCCAAGGACAGAACAAGCCACATTAGCTTCTCTTGCTTCTTCTCCGAATAGTCATCAGTCCAGAGCTCGTTCAACTCAAGAGCTTCGGGCTCATCAAGAGGAACATGAAGATTTCCCAGAGCTTGAATGTAGATGCGTTGATCCTAATAAAAAAAAACAGCAAGGATTAGTACAGATAAGACTGTTGATTTTAGCAATTTACCATATCATTTGATGAAGCTTTGATTTTTGCAAAGATATCCTTCTTAACTTCTGCCGTGAACTCCTTAAGTTTGCCGGATGTTGGATTGTTCTTGTTGGCTATTCCAACAGCAGACGTGAAAGCCAAGACAGATGGATAAGTGTTGCTCTCTGCGATATCCTTGAGCGCTTGAAGAGCCTTCAGCGAAGGCTGCCTGATGCTTCCTGCCAGCTTGGTCAGCATTTTATCACCCAATTCGGCACTGATATCCTTATCAACGATGAGCTTCCTAATGAACAACACTGATCCTTCAGTTCCGACATTGGGAAGAGCATCGTAGAAAGTGCTGAGGACATTCAAGCCATCTGTCAATGAATCGGTCTTCAGAGACTCCCAAAGGCTTGTGTAGTCCTTGAACTTGAAGAACTCCATCAGCGCCATAGTCTTCACCAGTTCTATGGCTGGTTTTCTGGTGCCTTTGGTGTTCCTTGCCGAATTTATCAAGTGTGTTTCCCATATGTGAACGACCTCCTTCAATTCACTCCTGACCTCATTGATAAAGTCGCCAATGTTGGTATCTTCCACCGATTCCAGCTGAGCGAAGCTCTTCTCCTCCTCGAAATAATCAGTGGCCGCGACCGTGAGTGACAGACTCTTCTCATTCTGGAATGCAAAAACATGATTGCGAAATTGTCTCAATTGACCGTCTTATGTAACTCACTTCAAAGTCAAAGTCAGTGTCATCCAGCGATAAAGCAGCTTCCTCGACAAATGTGAAATTGTAGGCTGTTCTGATGAAGTGAGTGAGAGATTTTCCATCTGATGGTTCCCAGAAGACTCTCTGAACAGCCTCAATGGCGTCCAGAACGTAATCACTATTCCTCTCTACAATGTAGTACTTTCTATAGTTGTTGATGTCCAAGCCCGCAAGAGTCGTCAAGTCCTCATTGTCACTGAAGATCTTCGACACAAAGTCATCACATGTTCTGGGATCGAAGAATTGCTTCACTTCAACGTGTCCTCCATCAGGTGGAATCGCTCCGACGCAGCGTATTGTGCAGCGTCCGTAAATGGTCGGCTGATGCAGCAAGTAAGTGCTTCTCGGTATATTCACGTGCACTTTGAACGGTTCGTAGTGGAAGACAAGGAAATTGGCGATGGTTTTGTAGAAATTCACATTCTTCTGCTGCTCGGTTTTGCGTAAAATGATTTTCCCCTCGTGTGTGATGATGAAGTCCTTGATTTTCTCATCAGAAAGCTTCAGAGTGTAATCTTTTGGGAGAGTCGAGACAGTATCAATATCACCATTTCTCACTGTTGCATTTACTTGCTTCAGTGACACGTAAACTTTATCCTTTCCATCTGAAAAAGGGGGAAAAATGTGCCTTTAAATTGACTGAATTAAATCATAAAAGCTTCACATTACATGGCACAACGTTAAGACGATAATTCTCCTTAAAGTTGCTCTCATATCCTGAATCAAGGATTCCACTTGTTACGCTGAAAGTCACATCAAATACCGTTCCATTAACACTCCCTCTCGGCTTCAAGAGATTCAAGTAACTGGCGTTCACTTCGAGATTCCCACAGAGGCTGAGGCAGAGAATCACAAGAAATGCTCGATTTCCCATTTTTCACTTGAGCACTGATGGAAATTCCAAGAGAAACTGAGCCACAATTGCAAATCCTCGCTATTTAAAGGCATATTTATCGCGAAATGGTAATAATAAACGTTATAATGATGACGTTTTGAACTCTGGCTGGAGAAGATTAAGATGAGAGGTCAAATTTATTTTGTGGATCCACAGTGACTTGAAGAAATGTTGTCACATTCAGCAGTAGCAATAGTTGTTTAAGGAATTCCGTCTCTTATCTGTTGTGGAAAGTTGTGAAATTCGTCATGAATTTCTTTATTATGTGAGCTTTTAATATATTTAGCACAATTTGAAGCTTGATTTGAAGTAAATTCATGGATTTGTACTAAAAATTAATCAAAATATAATACTCAAAGCCCGGAAATCTGCTACAAATGTGTAGATTATTAATTCTGACTGCAATATTTCGCCAATAGAGAAATACATTGGAATTGCAAATTCACCTAATTACTTAATATGTATTTGCATTTTGCATTATTGCGCTTGTTTACATTTAATAATGGGTCATCGCGTTCAGTTTCCGCAAATCTAGCCTCCAGCCCAATTCCCATCTGCATATTTATGCATTCCACAAAAGGCCAATATATCACGAAAAACCGCCTCAACATTCCTGCCACAAAGTGTCCACTCAATTTTTATAAATGTTTCGCGGAGACGAAGCACTGGCGGAAAAAAAGTACTTCCCGCTGTGGAAGATATTGCTCAGCATGACAAATTGGTGCTCATGAGGGGCGAATTCTCATTTGCATTTTGCAACTGTCCCAAACAGACAATAACGTGATAATTGACCGGAATTTATGCCACTCCCTAGGCTCTGGAGGGGCTCTTCAGCGAGTAGAGAGGATAATTGGCGAAAATGTCACCCAGAAATTGGTAACATTTGCCAAATTGCGCCTCTGTCCAAAGGATTGCCGCTCAAAATACTCCACTCACTGATTTAAGTAGCAATTTAGAGTGATTTATGCTGGCGAAGGAGAAAATACGGCAGAGAAAGAAAAGTGTAGAGTTGACGGTTATTTTGAATATTTAAATATATATGTGTCAGGCGATGACATAAAATTGCAAAATTCAATTTTTCCTCTTTCAAACCAAATTTTAATCAGCGTCACAATATTTATTGGCCCAATAAAAGATTAAAACATAAAACTTCACTCACACTTTTTATTATGTCTATTCAATGAAAAATAGGAAAATGTAGCAAATTGATTTCATAAATTGATATGTTTTTCCAAAAACCGATTAACTCTAATGGAATAATTGCGCTGGAGAATGGTAAATGGAATAAAAGAGCTTTGTGTCATTCACCGTGTCAATCCGAGAGACTTCAAATTGCAGTAAATCAGAAAGCATGTGCCTAGATTCTCACCGGTCTCTGGCATAAATATGAGACTCACCCTCACTCTCTAGGGGTTGAATGAATTGAAGTCTCATGAAAATTCTCCATCTATTTTCCAGCACAGATAGAATGAATTATTTTTCTGTTTTCTTGAATTATTTATCAAGGGGTGGGCTCAAGGGTGGATTTCACCCTCATTTTCCGGACAGACAACTCACCCCGTGGGCGGCTTTCCTCATGATTTTCCACACTCCCTCGTCGTTTGAACACTTTTGCACCGTGGGAACACTTGGGTGAAATAAATGAATTAACAGAGGGTGAGTTTTTTTTCTCTCCAATGTTATTTATCACCTTGTCTTCTCACATTTCTTCTCTCACGCGCGACTCACCTTCGCGCGAGTATATTTTCCCGGGTGCTTTGCATACCTTTTGAGCGTCATGTGAAAAAATAACCAACCAAAGAGGCTCTCTCTCCCCACGCCTACAGCGGAGAATGCCTGATAATGCGAAAATGCGTAAAATTTTCGCCCCCCAAAGAGGGTGAATGTCGTGAGGGGGCGGGCGCAGCAGAGAAAATGGTTTGGTCGAAAGTTTCGTGAGAAGAGCAACAGTTGGTGTGAACAATTATCGATTGCTTTTATTGCTGGAAACTTCCTCTCTGTTTCCTTCCAGTTTCCAGCAATTAAATGATTGGGAAAATTGAAGAGCTTTGTGGAGCTTTCTGGAGGATTGGACCTGCCAATGGACTCAACCATCTGATTTTACAGCAATAGAGACAAATCTGGAGACAAATTCAGCAGTTATTCCACTCTTTCCTCTCGTTAATACAACCCATTATACCATTTCAAATGGGGTTTGGATTGTATTTCTTTTTTCATGAGAACTAAACCCTTTCTCTAACTCACTTAATTGCAAAGTTTTGTTAGTTTTTTGTGGACACAAATGAGAAGTGAGTGGAAAACGTTGGAGTTTCAATTGCCGAATGAGAACGAAGCATGAAATCTCCAACCAGTCCCAATGGGTTAACTATCAGTCCGCATTATTTTGAGTCTGTTCGTCTGTGTGCGTTCGCGCTTAGGTGGTTTAAGTATAGCCCCTTCAAGCACAGAATATCGCGCTTAGCGGCAAAGTGGGGGCAACTCACGACGCCACGAATGCTCTCACATCGTCGTGTCAGTTGCTTCGAAATAGCGGTGAGACGTAAACGTAGCGCGATCGCCTGGCCAGAAAGCCTTAAAGGTGTAAATTGAGATCCCTCATTTTGACCTGTGCTGTCCGTTGAGTGTGTGCAGAAAAAGAGGCAAGTTCGCGGCCATTGTGTGTCCCAGCAAATCTATCGATTCTCGCGAATTCGGTGCTCCCGCCGCCTTCCTGTTTGGCCCCAAAGTCCGCGGCTATGAAATCCGCGGTGTGACAACAGGAAAAGTACAATTTGCTGGCCAGAGTGGCGAAGTGGCCTGAAAGAGTGGGTTCACACACTGCAATTTGTGGTTTGCGATTGAGACACTTTTCGCCACTAATTCTGGATAATAGTCAGACCAGTCCAACTGCGACTTAATATTGACCAAATTAATATTTATGTGTTTTTAATGAACAAATTGTGCACTCGTCTCGCCTCATAATGCCCTTTTTCCCAATCAACCACATCAGTGTCCATGTGCTGCACGATCAGTTCCACGCACTCGCCGATGCAAGAGCTTAATTGAATTCTGTTCTTTGCGCGGGAAAGACCGAGTGTCCCCAGAGATTTGTGCTCTTTTTAGAGTGAGGAAGAACATCTCCTGGCCTCTGCCGTTGTGTTTTCAGACAGAGCGAGAGAGTGTGTGAGCCCGGAGAGACATGGATTTCAACATTCTCCTCCTGATTCTTGCACTTGCAGCCGCCGGTGATGCTTCAACAGGTAAAAATATTGGATCTCAAGTAGGAAATAGAAGTTGAAACTCAATGGGAAACTTTGTGATTGGAAGCCTGCGGCGAAACGCTGAAGAATGTTATAATATCCATGGAGAATATGTGGAAGATGCGCGATATTTTCTCTATAGTGCAGAACTTTGCAGAACTCTTACATCGCGCAATGTGACATTGAATCTCCGGTGTTTGTTCACCTGGAAAAGCATCACTCAAGATCTGGAAAATTCAGACACACACACGCACACAGTGCAAAAGAAAGAAATCACAGAAGAACAACCATAAATTGAAAAGGCGATCGGACTTTCCACACACAATTCATTGCGGCGTTTCCACGAGGCACGATCGTTTGCAGAAAAAAAAGCTGAGACACGCCGCGAGAGAATGCTGGAGATCTCAAATTACACGGAGATTGCAAATTAACCACTACACACGATAGTCTGGCAAATATTGTACAAAAATTACGAGTTTATTATCTCCTATATCGCTCAAATACGACACCATAGCAGTGTCTGTGTTGGTCTCTAACATGAGCGCGCGTCCCACAAAATTGCTATTTATTTTGGACTTGTGTACTGATAGTTGGGACTGTTGGAGAAAAAATATTTGTATTTTTTCACACTCTGTCGGTAAATACACTGCGCAAAAAAGGCCCCATGACAACTTTTTAACTTATAAGCCCAGAAGATCGCGCGGAGTGGCGAAGAGATTTCCTGGGCCACAAAGACGTCAATCGCGGTGAAGCCGTGATTTTTCTGGCAAACATCGCGCGCTGTTCAATTAGCCTGCACTCAATCGATTTACAACAAATAGATTGGAATTCAATTAATAAAATATTCAAATGAGGGCATAAATTAATGGAAGGCTTTTTCAACTCGCTAATTGCACCGTTCTAGGCAATTTTCACTCCATAATGCTTGACATATTGATGGCAATTGGCTCTTAAATGGACTCTATTGATTTTAGATTTATTTCTCATTAGATGACATTCCTGGACTGAAGCTAAATTGATTGTAGACATTGATTCACCTTCGGTTCCGTGTTTTGCTATCTGCGTGTCTTACTGTCGGCCTGAGAAATTGTGGAGTGTGTTTGGCTTTCTGGAAGAGTGTCTTCGCGATAGTGACTTGTGATTGTCATCAGAGCCAGTAAGTCAAACTCAAGTAGCTTTCTTCCGGTCACAGCGACGATGTCAGGGAAGATTTTGAGTTCCAAGACAATATTCACCTCAAAACTGGTAGTTTTCCTTTTCCATATCTCTGTAAATTCAACACATTGCCTCGGAATCACGCGAAAAATGTGAGAACATAATCAGTGAATGCTTCTCCAGATAGCACATAAGTATTCATTAGGCAATCACACAACTGACATTTGAATGCGAAGCGTCTGACATTGTCCGAAATCTTCGCCTCGATGCGATATCCATCGCGATACCCTCTAATTAAATTAGAAGACCATCTCACGATGGCATCAGTTAAATTGAATTTACATGGAGAATGAATTAAGATGGTCTATCTGGCGGATTGTCAGATGACCTCTCGCGTCTCTGGCCTGGAGGAACAATTGATCCACTTGTGTGTGGAGATTTTGAGCGCATTTTCCCAAGTTCACTGGCACTAGAGATAAGAGAGGCCAGAGTGAGAATTATCTCCCAACTCGATTTTAATTGATATTGAAGCGATAAACAGCGATTGATTGGCGTGTGCGGTGTTTAAATTGCGCAAAAGAGTGCCTTCGCGATGAGTGACTTGGCCAGATCCGATGCTTTTGCGGGCTGTTTATTTTTGCGTGAAAACACTCAGAGAAAGACACCCTGTTCGGAATTTTCGCTCTCCTTTTTTTATGCGCACAGCTCAATTTCATAATAATTAATCTCGTCAGACACCCAATTTTATTGCCTTTTTATCTCCCTTCGCGCTGTGGCCTCGCGAGAGCAATATGAAAAGTCTCCTGCCCTCTCGCCGCCCTGTGGCTTTGCAGACGAACACAGATGAGGCACTAAACGCGCTCAGAAAGAGAGTGGGAAAAAAAGCGCCACCAAAATTGATATTCATGTGACTTTTGCTTGGTGGAATATGTTATTAATAAAATTGCGATAGACGGAATATCGCCGAATTAATTGATTCAAATGTGTGCACATTGTGTGCCATGCAAAAAAGAGACGCGAGAGAAAGTGGAAAAGGCTATCGCATAAATCTGGCTCAATGCAAAACTTGAGGAGAACTCCTCGGCATGAGTGCACAATTTCAGGTGACGATGAGGAGACTTCTTGTCGACCACCAGCAAAGCTCTTCAACCAACACACGCACGCCCAGCGCAAATGTGTATTTTCACACGAAAATTCCTCTGAAGTAACATCTGCTCAACATCCCATATGTTTGAATAATCAAAAATGATATTTCGAGCTCAACAAACTCACGGTGACGTCGATGAGAGACGCCCCGCGCCGCAGAGACACCCAGAGTCCCAACGCCTCGATGACGCTGCGCGATGAATTGGGGAAAAGAGCTACTTTTCGACAGGCCACTGATTTATTTACTCTCTCGCGGGAGGTTAATTTAAGCGTTAAACCAAGAGGTGCTATTGAGGAATTGAAGGGCAAGTCTAATTGCGTCACAGAGCCTCAAGGGGGCGATGATGATGAGTTGCGGAATAGCAAATCTGTGAATTTGCAATGCAGATATTCAATCGTCATTGAGAAAAGAAAGTTAGAAGATTTGATACTTTTGGCGATGCTAATAATAACAAAGTCCTGAAATCATGGTTAAATTAATGATTTATTCGAATCCTTGAACTTTAATCAATTTTTTGGCTGTTCTTTTATTTTCGACATATTTTTGATCAAAATTTACTACTTTCTCACTAAAAATTTGGGTATTTTTTCACTTTAATACTGACCAAACTCTGCAGCACTGATTTTTTCATAGTTCTGCTTATCTTATTTCACACACAGTCTTCCTTTGCCTTCACACAAAACTTATATCTCGTGATTACATCAATTTCGTAATACGATTATGACACTTACAAATAAACTACAGAAATTTTCCATCTGCCACAAATTCTGGGCGATACAAACACGTGATTGTTCGGAGGCTTGTGATAACTCTTCCTGAATCTCCGGCTCTTGATTTCCCGTGCAGAGCCTCTTGAAAGGGTTTCGAGTGGGGAGACCTTTTGGGTGTTGAATATTCACAGTATTTCGCCTTCGAGTGGCTTTAGGCATCTCCAACATGATGATTTTGGCATGTACAGTTTTCGCCATATTTCACATGGGATGGAGATATTAAAAGAATTGAAAGCCAGATGGTTGAGTTTCTCACTCGTGCACATTTCAATTTTCACGATATGGCGGAAGGTTACAAGTGTTTTGGGAGAGCATTATACATTTTCTCTGCGGTGAGAAGAGCCTCGGGTTGATTGTCTCTTGGGTCTCGGCGAGGGTGAGGAATCAATTGATGGACCATTTAGTTGGGAAACAATGAAGATGAATGGCAGTAAAAGAGAAATTGAAGGTTCTCGCTTTCCCCAGATTGGATTTTAATGGTCCCTCGCTTTGTGTCCCTCGATGGCTGTGGGTGTTGTCAATTGCCACCACAAAGCGCGTAAATAATCATCGATGCCGTGACTTGACCGAAAAAAGTGGACAATTTCTTGTGCTGCTACCCATAAAAGTCGTCTTTATTGCACGCCAGAGTCGCCCAGAATCCACCAGAATTGCATCCAGAGTGCCTCAGCGTGGGAACTTTATGCAAATCCCTGTGGCCGGAGTGAATTAATGACGTGAGTCGTAAAAGTCTGGCGTGGAGCCGAAAATTGACGCGACTGAATTGGAATTAAAACGCCATGTTTTTGCCATTTTAACGGCTCCACACGGAAAATTCTTCGCCACACAATTTTCAACGCATCAGACATTTTTTAACGACTCTGGGTTGGTATTATTTTTAGTGGTGTGTTTTCCGAGAGCATATTTTCACGATTTCACCCAAAATGTGTTGGGAAAAATGAAGGAATTGTCCACAGTGCAACCCTGAAAAATTCCACCATTTCACCGCGCGCAAGCTTTATTGTTGATCATTAAAGTGCCCAACGTGCTTCTGTACTCAAGTCTTGTGCCTAAAATTAATCATTCAATTAAACGGCAATAAGTGTGGAATTTATGGAGAATTTTATGTGACCGGAGAAATGCCAACACTCGTCACGGGAATGATTCTTGGCCAAGTGTGGATTTGTTAAACATATAATTTCCCAGAGAAATTTGTTTAGAGTCTGTTAAAATTTTAATAATATACACATAAATTAGGTCTTTTGAGAATTCTCCACATTTCAAAATTGGCTCAGAACTTTCTGACTGCGTCTCTAAAGTTTGTTCGAAATGCTATAAGAGTTCGCTGGTAATACAAGAAGTCTTAAAGAAGTTAAGTATTTTCTTAATAAGAGCTTTATAAGATTATACAGCACAGTGTTTTTGAGTAAAATTTCCATTTCATACTACAAAATTAATGTCGAGTTTGTACTCTTTAATTCAAGTCCATAATTTCTTGAGCAGATATCAAAGATGAATCTGCTGACGTCAAAGACATTTAGATTACTGCCAGAAAGCATTGGAGTTTCCATGTAATTATGATGTCTCGTGCGCTCAATTCTGTTCTCTTAAGAGAATTCTATGTTCGTGAATGCCGCTAAAACCGCAGTGGGCATTCGGAGATGAGTATCGGACAAAGAGAGAGAGAGAGAGAGCGCATCTGTGGAAAGGTGGACCATCAACCTTCGAGATGCTCACATTTGATCTTAATCTATGACGATGGAGCGTCGCTCAGTTTTACAACCGATTCCATTCGATCAGCCGCTCGGAGGCCATGAAAAGAGACCATGGAGAAGAATTGAGGCATTTTTTGCGTGCTCAGACGAGATCTCAATATTGCCCCGGGGAATCATATATTACACGGCATTTATTGTTATTATTGTGGCTCTCGTTGCTACACAAGTTGACTC